CGATCATCCAGGGAAGCTTCTGATGATTTGGAGGAAGTTGGGGGTGGGAGGCAAGAGCGGGATCCGGAAGAGACTGATCGATGACCTCGATCCAATGGCCGTCGACGCGAGGGTCTCTATCGACGAAGGAGGGGTGTCCGGCGGAAGAGGAGAGTTGGCGGCGATGATGATTAGAATGGGTGATGAGGGTGGAAGAGCCGGAGGAGGCGGGGGGAGGGGATCTGACCAGATGAGGGTCGATCGGATCCTCGTCCTCATCATCCAGCCGAGCCGTGCGTTGCCTATACTTTTGTTTGCGTCGAGCAGATTCCGAGGATTCGGAAGAGTCCGACGAGACTTGTTGATGAGCAGGCGGAGGCGAAACCGGCTCATTAGTAGAGTGGGGGATCTCTTTCCACTCGATCTCGTTCTTCAGCCGACTGCCTCCATTGGCAACTCCCCCCTTGGCCCGTCGATTCGAATGTCCGGAGTATGTCGAGGAGCGGATGTCCAGGGAACCGCCCGTCGAGCGACTCTCCCATTCATCCCCACCTTCCAGATGGCTCGGTTGGACCATCGACGAGGTCGCTCTCGATTGCCGGACGGCCGAGATTAGGGATTGGTATCGGATATGATCAAGGCGTTGATCTTGTCCCCAAACTTTCACCACTACCAGCCAAAAAAAAAAAAAAAATGATGTTAGTGAGAATGAGAAGAAGAGAAAACAAAAAAAAAAGGGGGTGAACTGACTGTAACAAAAGTATAACTGCGAAAAGAAGAACAAGAACCAGACGAAGAAACAGACGGCCAACTGGGCCCAAGTCCAGACGGAGCAGAGCTGTCTCGAGGAGTTCGACGGGCCATCGACAAACTCGTCGTTGGAGACGAACTGCAACAAGCATTGGTCGATGGCCGTCTGATGCTTGGTGGAGGAGATGATCAGGAGAATCAAGCTGTATAGGAACGTGATCCCTATTAGGCCGACGTTGCCCATAAAATATCGCTTGAAGATGATCGGCTTTTCTTTATACACTCCATAAAACCTGTTAACCCCAAAAGATAACAAAAATAAGTTTTGTGTTGGTAATTAGGAGATATATATATATATATGTAGAAGAGACGAACCCAAGCGCCTGGATCGACCCGACGGCCAAACACAAGACTCCAAAGAAAGCAGTGAAGCTGAAGTCGAGGACGATAGCGAGGATGGAGGGGGCGGAGAAGGAGAGGATGCCGAAGACGAAGCCGAAGATGGTAAACTGAGCGAGGATGGAGTAGATGCCAGTATTGTAGAGTGGGATCGCAAAGCAACAGTAGTGGTCGCTAAGGACGACGGTCTTTTCGGCTTGGGTTAGGAGCTTGGTTCGGTCTCTCTTCGT